GGAGATGATGTTATTTAAAAAGTCATCTGCTTTGAAGTATGGTATAATTTAAGTGAGGATTTTCATTCACTCAAAGTTGATATGCAAAGTATGGCCTCTTACAAGGTCTTACAGTGGGGTATGTTTTCCCATCATCAGTTGGCTTGGGTCAGAATTAGTCATTGTTCTTACAAGTTGAGACGATACAAAGTTTTTTTGTTTGGCTTATCAGAGTAAAGTGGGTGATAGAATACATGTTGTTTGTTATTATTAAGTTTCAGAGTTCATTCCCATACTATCTCACATGATGAAATATCTGTAATGAGATTTTGTTTGAGTTTACATTTTCATGTCACTTACCACAAATTCAGATTCAGTGCACAGACACAAAAGCAGTATCTCTGGTCTTATATTCTGAGAAGGTGGCAGCCACCCTTGTACATATTTGTTTATTCATAAATATTTGCTTCACAGTGGACCAGACACTGTGCCAACATGCAGGAGGATATAAAGTGAATAAGACTGTACACTAGAGGGAATACATGTTAGTAGGCATGTAAGTGCCGTCCACTGTGTTAAGCATTACAAGAATGACACCAACGAGAGAGTAATTAATTTCGTGGTTTAGAGGTCGTGGGGAGAGAACACTGAGACAATTGTCACAAGCTTTTTGAATGGACAACCTTTGAGTACCATCTTAAAAGATGACTTGAAATATGACAGTCAGAAATTCTTGGGGAGAAGGGAAGGTGGTAGGTGGATAGGCAAGGCAGAGGGAAAGGCTGGTGTAGAAGAGCAGGCATGAACAGAGCATACTGGGATTGTAAGGTGGCTCCAGTTTGGCTGCAGTACTGGTGTGGCACTGTGAGTTAATGCGCTGGACTGCAAAGTTGGTTTAAACTGCAAGGTCGTCGGTTCATGCTCACCAGCTGCTTTTCAGAAATCCTATACAGGGTTGCTATGGGCTAGAACCAACTCAATGGCATTTAACAACAACAACAACTGGGAGAACACAGTGTGGAGGAATAGCAAAGAGATCAGATGCATCACTGAGTGCTCTATGCACATGGCAAAGGAGAGTTTGGCTTTTGATAGCCATGGTTGATATGGAGCTGACGATGGGGCTCAGGCTGATGGTTAACATGGTAATATTTGAATTTTAGAGCTATGAAGGGGCTTCACAAAGTTTTTGGGAAATTTTCACTATCTTTCCATTCCATTTTTCCACCAACTTTTTTAAGCCCCCTCATATTACTCTGGAAGTAATGTAGAGAATGGATGCCATGGAGTGACCCAAGCAAACCACTTGGGCTGTTGCTGTCAGACAAGTCAGTCATAAGGTGGCAGTGTTGGAGGAGAGGCAAGAATCAGTTAAAGAAATACCCAGCAGAACAAATTGACAGGACTTGATAACTTCAGCTTAACAACTGAAGTTGGCAGTGAAGACTAGAGAGAAGAGTCCGTGTTCTGGCCTTCAGGAGTGGGTATCTGTAGCCTCTAGCATGTTTAAAGAGTCACTAAAGATTATCAAATGTTTTATTCTTTGTGAAGCTTTTCCTGAATTACACATCTCAGTCTGATTAAGATCTTTTTCTCCTTCAACACGTCAACCTATTTTATAGTTGTCCTTATATACTTGTACAGCTGTTTGTATATTTGGTTTGCTCTTCTTAACTACTTCCTGAAGATTGGGACTATTTCTTACTTAACCTTTAATTTCCTCTGCTAACAGCCACTTCTGTGTCCCATCTCACTGAATCAGAATTTCAAAGCCAAGTTACCTGGGAATCAAAGTTAAGCTCGTTCTGGTGATGAGTGATTAAGTGCTTGGCTGCTAAGTGAAAGTTCAGTGGTTTGAACCTACCAGTCACTCCACAAGAAACACTCGTGGCAGTCTACTTGCATAAATATTTACAGCTTTGAAAACCCTATGGGGTAGTTCTACTCTGGCCTATTGTTAAATTCCAACTCACAGTGACCCTGTATAGAGTTTCCCAGGAGTGGCTGGTGAGCCTGTACCACTAACCTTGCAGTTTAAATCAACCTTGCAGTCCAGTGCTTATACTACAGTGCCACTAGACTGGAAGGTCAGTTTGAGCTGCAAGGTTGGCAATTCAAACTCACCAGCTGCTCCTTGCTAACCTATATACTATGCTATCACTATGAGTCAGGACCAACTCAGTGTTAGTTAACAACAACAATAAGATTTTGAGGGATACTCTAGTGGCTTATTCCCTTGAATGACCCTAATGAGCATTGGACTACAAATCGCAAGGTTGGTGGTTAGAGCCCACCAGCCATTCTGTGGGAGAAAGATGAGGCTTTCTGTTCCTGCAAAGGTTTACAGCATTGGAAACCCTACATTGTGTACCTTTGAGTGGGAACCAACTGGGCATCATATAACAATCACAACAATGTCTGTATAGAGCATAAGTAGGTATTCTTTTAAAAGTAAAATATGATTCAGAAGGTTTTCATTCACACTTAGCTTGTTATATAGTTCCAAGCTTACCAGCTGCTCCCCTGGAAAGTCTATACAGAATTGCTATGGCTCAAAACCAACTCAACGGGACTTAACAGCAACAACAATGGTTAAACTGTATCTATTTTTATACTTTGGTTTTGACACTGGAAGCAGGTTAAAAACCTGATTTTTTTTTTTTTTTTTTTTTTAAATAAAGAACTGCGATAATCCTTTAACCTAGCAAGCTCATGCTCAAGTAAACAGCCTTTCCAGAATCATCTGTGATTTCACTTCAGAAGGAAGGCACTACCATTATTCTCTTCTTGTGTCTTTTCTTCAACGACTGCCTGACTTCTGGATTGGCAGGGCCCTTTTTTATGTTTATTGTGACTTTGTCCCAGCAGTACCCTAAAGAGAGTTTCTTTTCAATTCTTTAGAAGAAAACTGCCTTGACTCTAAGAGCATATTTCTAAAATATATTTTAAGGAAATGGCAAAAGCCTGTGGCTTTAATGTTGACTTGTGTTCGGTGTAGACTGTGAGGAAGAGCCCACTGCAGGTGCACATAAATTATCTGGCTTAGACTAGCTTTATAGCATGAAGTTCCAGCAGCATCCCACCACATATAGAATGATGAGGTAGGAGGAGGGGCTTGCTTGGAAGGATGCCAGGAGGCATGCAAGCATTGAATTTGCTGAACTGTGACCACCTCAGCTTGCTACCATAATGGAGAGCCAGAGCAGCTTTCCTTGGTTATTTTGATATATGTGTGTCAAATATATACACACATATATACTATATGTAATATGGTGTTTGCATAAATCACATAACCTCCTAGTTCAGAGATCATATCATGGGCGTTAATCAACACATATGTATATTTACAGTGAAATTCTCTTACATATCTCTAATGGATTCAGATGAAGAGGTAGAACAAAGGATATCTGTGCTGACATCAGATAAAACTTGGCTGAAAGCAGAGATTACCAGAAAGATGTTTACCTTTATTTTATTTACTATGAAAATGCTTTAAACTGTGTGGATCATGACAAGCTATGGATAACCTTGCGGAGAATGAGTATGTCAGAACACTTCATTGTGCTCATGAGGAACCTGTACATAGAACAAGAGGAAGTTGTTTGAGCAGAACACGGAAACACCAAGTGGTTTAAAATTAGGAAAGGTGTGCATCATGACTGTATTCTTTCACCATACTTAATTTGTATGCTGAGCAAATAATCAGAGAAGCTGGGTTATATGAAGTAGAATGTGGCATCAGGATTAATTAACAACCAGCGATATGCAGATGATACAACCATGCTTGGTAAAATTGAAGAGAACTTAAAATACTTACTGATTAAGTTCAAAGACCACATCCTTCCGAATGGATTGCACCTCAATATAAAGAAAACAAAAGTCCTCTCCACTGGACCAGAAAATAACATGATAAATGGAGAAAAGATTGAAGTCAAAGACTTCATTTTGCTTGGATCCACTATCACCGCTCGTGGAAGGAGTACTCAAGAAATCAAATGTCATACTGCATTAGGCAAATCTGCCCAAGACCTTTTCAAAGTATTTAAGAGCAAATATATCTGTTTGAGGACACATGTGCTCCTGAACAAAGCCATGGTATTTTCAACAGCCTCATATACCTGTGAAAGTTAGACAGTGAATAAGGAAAACCACAGAAGAATTGATGCACTTGAGTTATGGTGTTGGAGAAGAATGTTGAAAGTACCATAAACTGCCAGCAGTACAAACAAATCTATTGAAAGAAGTACAGCCAGAGTGTTCCTTAGAAGCCAGGATGGCAAGACTCCATCTCTCGTACTTCAGACGTATTATCTGGAAGGACCATGCCCTGTTGTAGGGTCCGTGAAAAAGAGCAAGACCCAAAACAGCAGCAGTGGGCTCAAGCATAACAGTAATTGCGAGGACGGTGCAGGGCCAGTCACTGGTTGGTTCTGTTGTAACCAGGGTCGCTCACAGCACCTGACAGCAGCAACAGCAATGGATGTTCACTAGTAATTCTTAATTCTTAAATTACATGTTTTCGCCCAAAGGATGAAAGTTCTTCTGATGCCTGTAGGTGTTATTTCCTCTGTAGACTGTGACTTTTCAGGTGTAAACCATTGGCAGCCCCAGGACCATCTGTCAGGGCAGCCCTGCTGATGGTGACGATTACTGGTTACTCTTACTTCCTCCTATATCCTCGTTTATCCTTCATCTCAATTTCCACATCTGCCATTTGAGATATTATGTAGTATGAAGTGTGTACTCATGGGAAACATAAATATAGCCATAGAATTTGTATATCACTGGCTCAGAACTATCATTACCCATATGAGTTCATACATTCTTTTTGTTTTTCAGGTTTAATATCTCATTTTTTATTTTGAGGACTGCTGAAGAGGGGAAGAAAAAAATAACCTGAAACTGAATATATAGTCTGTATTACTAGGCAGTAGTCCTAGTGTGGCGCTGTAGGTTAATACCCTGCACTGTGAAGTCACTTTGAATGAGTTCATGCATTCTTCATGTCCTCTTTTCCACAGGGTGAAAGTACTGGAACGAAGAGTAAAGTTCATCATATTGCCAAAGAGATCATGAGTTCAGAGAAAGTGTAGGTATCTAGTTTTTTATTCTGAAGAGTTTTCACCCACTGGTTCATTTGAAACGTTTCTTTCATTGCCTTTTTTCTTTTTTTTTAAACAGGTTTGTCGATGTGTTAAAACTTTTACATATTGTAAGTATCTGCTAATATTTTCTTGAAGTGTAAGACTATTTCCTTTTGCATCTTTCCCTACCCCAAAGACTTTGTTATTGTTGTTGTTAAGTGCCATCAAATCAGTTCTGACTCATAACAACTCTGTATAGGGTTTCTGGAGAGCAACTGGTGAGTTTGAACTGCCGACTTTGAGGCTCAAACCAACCTTGAGGTCAAGTGCTTACCCTAGGGTACCACACTGAAACAAATTCCATGCATATGCATTTATTGTGATTCCTAACTCATGTTTATCTTTTTCAGCTTTGTGCACATGTATTAATATAGAAATTTTCTAAAATGTATATATCTTGTGCATATAGATATACCTGAATGCTCCTTGAAAAGTAGAGTTTTTAAATCTTCATCTCTCTGAAGTTTTAAAACTTTTATCTTTATAGCAAGGAGCTTCAAATATAATATTTTTGGGCCATTTGAAGATCTGCTATCAGTAGAGTTTTGCACTAATAATGTGTAAAGAATGTCATAATCATTGTACAAACAAAATCATTTTTCTCCTATGTGAATATGCTACCAGAAACAGACACTTAAAATAGACATTTTATAAAAGTTCTATTTTTTATTTTTATAGCTATCAATTTGAATGGACCTGTTGAAAAAAAATTATGATACGTTAATTATATAGTCACTTTTGTCATGCATTTCTTTGTACCTGCAATTTTTTACAAGTTTCATTAAGTATTGGTAGTTAAAGTGCTTTTGCTGTTACTTTATTCCAATTATATTTTGGCAAGATATTAAGGTTTAACAAAAGAAAGGGGCAAAGTAGAGGAAACAGTGAGGAAAGAAACTGTCATGAAAGTTCACTTAAATGGTGTAATTATTAACATCATTTTGAACTTCATTGCTGAGAAATAGTAGATTCACTAAATATACACCTATCTGTAGCTCTGCAAAAGGTATGGTATCCTTATTTTTACGTTGTCCCGATGAACATTTCCATATGAACATGAATAATGAGGATTTGAATTCACCAATGATTCTTTTGTGCTCTGTTGATCTAGTAGAACATGGAGGCCCAATTCTCCTGTGAGAATTAAAAAAAAACTGTTAGCATTGCTAATTCATTGGAGAAATAATTGCCCTCTGAATAGTTTCTCATAACCCTTGCCTGTTGGTAAGTTCATTTTTGTAATGAATTTAAAAAACCCAGTACTATAACATTTGGTCACCAGTATTTTAAACGACTGAACTTAGGTTATTTAAAGTAACTTAATAAAAGGTGGATCTTTAAAAGTTTTTGATTTGTGAAGTTTCAAGGCTAATATCATTTAGAAACTTTTCAAAGTAAACTCTGGTACGTCTGCCGCTGTGTTCTGAACATTGCAGGGGGAGATTAAATGGATGTTTTCTGGAAAACTGAATGTAATATGTATATCTAGGACAAATTATACTTATTTGTTATATTTTTTGACCAAAACCAGAAATACCCACTGCCGTTGAATCAACTCTGATTCATAGCATCCATATAGGACAGGGCAGAATAATCTTTAGGGTTTCTAAATCTTTATAGGAGCAAACAGCCTTATCTTTCTTCCTAAGAGCGTTTGGTGGCTTTAAACCTCCACCCTTGTTAGCAGCCCAATACCTAACCTGTAGCACCACATAGTTACGTAGGAATAGAAATGTTTACCTATATGCAAATTAATTGCTAAGCTCTTAGAGGTAAAAAAGGGGGGTACTTCAGAGTCAGACTTCCATTTGAACCGCAGTTTCCTATTTCAGCAAATCCTGCATGGAATACATGTTGTGGATACAGCTATGAATAACAGCACCTGCCATTTTGGTTTTTAAAGTCTAGTTCAGTGCTCCTCAGATTCTTATACTAAGGGACTGGAAGTTTTTTGTAAACCCTTTCAACCTATGACAGACCAGTACTTTTTTGTAAAATACAATAAAAAATATCATGGCTATCTCAAATTGGTATAATGGAATAATTTATCCATTATTCTCCCCTTTTGACTTCTCTTTTGCAGACCAATAACCAACAAAATATGCAGGTCATTGTCTGTCTGCAGGTCACACTTAGAAGCATAGTGATTCTTCTGTTATTAACTACCTTTGTGAATTTCAGAAAATAGTTGAACCTTTTATATCTTGTTTTTATCATTTGTAAACTGGGAATTTTTATACCCATCTCTCAGAAATAAAGTATATAAAAGGGCCTAGTATCGTATGTGGCATGTAGTAGGCTCTCGAATTACCTTTCTTTTATCATTTTCTTTCTCTTGTAGAGCATCAGTGAGTGAGAAATACTCATTCTCCTATCACAAGGCAGTAGACTTTGTGATTCTACCCTTTCAAATGCCTTTTTTTCCCCTGTACTAAAATTTTATATTAATGAAGGAAGTTTTTATCCTAGTAGGAAGACTGTTACATGTTTTATCACTTTATTTTCTTATTTGAAAACCTATGATCTATTCATATCTATATTTTTAGAACAAATCATAAGCATGGTAGTGAATGGATAATAAGACCAAAGTATATCCCTTATCCTCTCAGATCTGATAGATTCCCTTCTACTGAAAAGAATGAACCATTCTCAAACCACTTTACCTGAATATTTTTGAAACCATCACTTTTAATGTAGAAGTCAGAGTAGATCACTGCCAACCTTATATTATTTAATATTCTGTCTAGAGTTTGCAAATGTTAACTCACCAAAGCCTATCCCTACTGGTGTCTTAACAAGAGTACATTTATCAGGTTGTAAACTATTTCTAGGAATGGTGTTCACACAGGGTAATGTGGGTGAAGCAAAGGATCTTCTTGTTTCTCTCCTCCATTCCACCACCTTATTAAAACTCATCTTTGTTCTTCTACTGAAGGTACTCCACAAAGCTCACAGATTGGTAACTTTAATACTGACCTGTGCTGCTGTCTGGAGTCCTGGTGTGGTGCTGTGGGTTAATGTGCTGGACTCCAAAGTTGGTTTGAACCGCAAGACCAGCAGTTCAAGCTCAGCAGGCACTCCTTGGAAACCCTATACGGGTTTGCTGTGGATTGGAACTGACTCGTAGGCACTAACAACAACAACATGCTGCTGTCTGATTTCATCTAAATGAGTTGACCTTGGTGTTGTATGATAGAAAATGACTGCTTTACAATATGTAAATTAGAAATCAATGAGTTACTCAAATGGCATGGCTGGAGAAGCTATTATTTCAGTCCCATGAATATTAGAGGCCCTAGAACATTATCCAATATGGTAGCCATAGTTCTTAATTTTAAATGTTATTATAGTTCATGAACACTTCTTTGTTTAGAATTTGATAAAACAACTAGGTGAAATAACTCATAGGAAATGCATTGATATAAATTTAACTAACGCATTTTTATCATTTATATAGTTCTTACACTGGAAGGCATTATAAAAATGAAGCCCCGTAAACACCTAATATAACTAAGTACAAATGATATAGTGGATATTTTTTGTTATTATTATCTTATTTGCTTTCTTATGGGAAATAGATTTATAAGCATCTCTATAAAAAGTATTTCATAAATGCCCAAATAGCATGATGTAAAAATATACATATACATGTATATATATATATTGAAAGAGCAGGTTATTATCAGAGTTTGTAATTAAGTGGACAAAGATGGACTGTAACAGTTAATTAATACTAGTAATGAAACATCTTTATTGATTTCTTTAGACTGGAATATACAAGCTCTTTAGTATATGAGAGGTTCCTTATCGACACATTGCAGAAATTGGAACCAATGTCATGGACAATTGTGTATGAATTATTGACTGGAAAACTGAATTGCTATGTACACTTCCACCTAAAACACAATAAAATATCCCTCACCCCCCGCCCCAAATTGAAGCTATTAGAAATGATGTTGACTATTTGATAAGCATCCAAAGCATCAAGAACTATACTTGAATGTGGAATGGACTCTCTCTCAAAAGCCAAGAAATTTTCCAGGCACTCCACTTCTGTTTTATGAGGTCTCCCCAGTAGATTAGAAACAAAATGCAAAACAAAAATAAATAAATAAATGAATAAGTTTAAGAGACTCCTTAGGAAAATCCAATAGAGCTAAAGGAAAAAAAGCCTCTCTGGATATTCACATGTCTATTAATTAGTAAATAGAATATATTTTAATTTTAAAAATGTGTCAGAAAAAATTTCCCTCATGGATATCTCCAATTCTTATGTTTTTTCCCCCATCTTTAAAACCCTTTATCCTCCTCTGCTCTCTACACCATGTCTTTTGAGTCTTGTGAACCATTTAATTATCATCATTTATTCTTTAGTCGCAGAAAATTTGCCTTTAAGCTTCTGTTGATGTGACTGTCAAACCTTCACTTTTAAGCCACTTTCCTTACTTAGGGACTATCCTTCACTAAATGAAGTGCATTGTTCAGTGTGTCTTGTGTCTGATTGCTGAGTTGTTTGGTGTTTCATTCTCTTTTTATGCCTGTTTCAGAGTTATCTTTCCAAACTTTCAAGAATTTGTGGATTTTAAATTATCTTAATAACCAAGTCTTCTCAAATCAAATAAATGGCCTTCTATTGAGCATTCTCTATGTGCCTTACTAAGTTATATAAATTCTCTTTTAATCTTCATAACAACCGTATCAAGTGGATGTAATTTCTGTATTTTAGATGACGAAAGGAGAAGCTAAACTGTCAAGAGTAACCTACTTCTAAATGTCAAAGCCAGATGTTGAATCTGGTCTGTATGGGCCTTCACTTTTTTTTAGTGATTATGAAAGGAGCTCTGGTAGCGTAGTGGTTACGAATCGGGCTGCGAACCTTAAGGTCAGCGGTTCGAAACTACCAGTCGCTCCGTGGGAGAAAGATGAGGCTTTCTACTCCCGTAAAGATTTACAACACCCTCGGAAACCCTGTACAGGGTCGCTATGGGTCGGACCCGACTCGATGGCACTTAACAACAACAACAACAACATTAAGAAATTACTCAAAACACATATTGCTCGAACACTC